GACTGGTATTTTATCAATTGTACTACGCGATATTTTTACCTGTCTGTAACGGTTTGGAGTCGTTGTAACAAAACGTGGAATGTGTGCTAAAAAGATTGCAACACTTGTTTAATGTATCTTTAATTGCCATTGTCTAATCTAATTCACTACGTTCAATACTTTACATCAATGCATATGAATGTATAAAGAATATTTTATAGACACAATAATTTATAAAGGTAATCTGCATAGAAGCAAATAATATATAGGTAATATGCACACGTAGATTATAATTTTTGTAGAATATTTATAATTAAAAAATTAATCACGTATTTACAAAACACTGTATCTTTGCATTATATTATTCAAAACACTGCATGTTTGTATTGTATTATTCAATAATGAGCATCTTTTTTATTATATCTTTATTAAGTTGTACTTTTAAATCTAAATTTAATCATTGACATTCTATAACGCAAATCTCCTTTAATTTATCTTTATAATCAGGAATTATTTGTATACGTCGTTACAATTACTTTTTTATAACGATTAGCAAAGATGTTACAAGTTTTATGTCGGTAATGACGTCGGAAATAACGTCAAGGTTGAAACAGTCACTGTTGAAAATAACTTGTTACCATTAAGCGTTATTTATTGAAAAAAATAACTCTTTATTTTGCTTGTTACGTCATGAAAAATTAACATTATTTCCAAATTATTATAAAAAGGTAACCGTAATGGCGTTATAAATACGTTTATAACGCTGTTACTTGTTATTCTTGGTAATTATCTATATTGACTACTCTCGAGAATATAATCATCCCTCGCGGAAAACCCAAGTTCTATCTGTAGATAAAAATACGCGCGACTTCTCGATCACATTTGTAACCTCGATGCAATCGTCGTCATGCAGACTTCATAGTACAGGCAGATGACTAAGAGGGGCAGAGAACGAAGTGAAGAAAATGAAAAGGTAAGAGCGACGAGGCAGGGCGAAGGAAGTTGCAGTACGTTTGCATTGTTCGCACAGCTGTTTACCCAGTTTTCCAGCAGCAGCAGTGGCGCATTGCGATGCTAATTTCGTTTGCATTGTGCGACGATATACGCGCATGCATTGCGCGCTCTGACGGATCGAGAATCATGAAGGGGAAAACGAAGAAAAAGAAGAAGAGAAAGAATGCCTCGATCTATGCGGCGATTCACGTCACCGGGCGAGCTAGTGCTCTTCACACATGCTCTTGCATGTGTGATGAGAACATGATTATAGTGAATCATTCAATTGAGTCGAATCGAAACGTCAAATCAAACCGGAATTCAATATTCTAATAGTTGCTTTTTAGCAACCTCTTTATTAAAAATAATATATCTTAAAGGTGCGTTTTTATATAGCAATGAACCGCCGAGCTTGTTAGACTGGCGTATGATTAACATGAACTGCAATCTACTTCAGACCACCCCATTTCAATTTTATATTGTACGTTGTTGTGTCAAATTGCCGAGGATTATCTATCCGGTATATAACGAGGCGAAGGTGACGATAACGGCAGCTAATGAAAGCCCTTGCGCTGTTGATGACTCGGTTGGTCAATCGTGATTAACCGTACTCATTCGAAAACTTGCCAGCTAATCGCAAAACGTTATCTCCGCAAGGTGTGCAACACGTTAATCATTCCGTTCAGACGATACGTCGAGTAAATATACTGCGTATCATGCGAAAATGTCGTTGCGAAATATGACTATAAGTGCCTTGAAATGGAAACTCAAGCTCATATAGACAAAAAAAAAATCGAAAATCAAAAAAGTCTGGATTTCACAAATAAAATACTATCTCTGAATTTAAGATTGAGATGTCAAATTTTATTGAAAGCTATTTTGAAAATGACGATTTAAAATCTAATCTGGATTTTAATCATCGGTAATTTAATATTAGCAAGAAAAAAAATTGTGAGCGTCGAATATTGCGACGCGAGAGCTAATCGGGTGAGCTGTCTAGTATTTCAAAAATAATTAGTCCACTTTTCGAAGCCATTTATGTTTTTCCATCACGTAAAATTGTGTCTATAGATAATGGTACAGTAATTACGGGTTTTTTTTGCTACCTCATCACTGAGGTAAAGTAATTAAAGTATTCTGGTACATGCGCATTTCATTCCCGATCATTTAATTTCTTATTGATCTTTTGTTTGGTATCATCTGCATGCTTTTTGATAATTTAGAGACTCGATTTATGAAAATTATTACATCATTGTTACTATATCATTTCAAGTTTGATGACTTTAACATTTCAAGTTTGAAATGAACTTTAACATTACATTACACGAGACATTGATATTATATTACATTTATGTCATATTTTACTTTAATTACAACATGCTTGTATAGTCCTACAATTATTTACATAATCGGTTGGCTGTATTAAAAATTATCAATATTTCGCTCGCAATTATCAAATGAGTAGAATAAACGATGTCTAAATTTAATAATTTGTTTGTTATGTAAAATGAACATACATATAAAAGAGGATAATGTGTCATCAATTGACAAATGGTGATACACAATCTTGACCTAGATACAGCAGTTTCAAATTGCGTTTGTCAGCGACTTCAGCAGCGCGATTATACTTACGTTTAATTCCAAGGTCATCACGAAGTCAGTTCGGCCCCTCTTGTCGTTCGTCTAGGATACGGCGGGTTCATGCAAGCGAGACGGCACTTTGCCTCTCTCCTAGAAGAGAGCAGCCAATAGAGAACGATTCCGACGGCGGCGCCGACGCACTCGGCTCTCTCCTACTCTCGTGAGATAGTCTGCCGAATCAAATCTAACGACGGATATCTCGTGCGCGCGCACGGCCGCTCCGGAGAATGCCTATTGGCGTCTGCATCCAAGCGTCGACTTAAGATGGACGTTACACGATGGTATCCCCCCCTAGATCATGGACCACGCATCTGTGATGTTATTAGACAACATCATCAAAATCTCCAGTTTCTATTTTTAAGATGACTTTGATCAAACAACTTAATTGATGATTTACTTATCGTGTGCTATCTGTACTATTGTATTAACATCAATAAAATTAGTTTTTATTATTTAACATATGAGAAAAAGATCAGGGATGATAAATTATACAAATTATAGAAATTTTGTTTCAAACAATTCTTCTAATTAATCACTGATTAAGATAAAATGGAGTTTGAATCAAATCATCTTCATTGATGATTCATCTTTAGACGTTGATGATATGGAAGTTAGAATTAACAGCGTTTATCTTAATTAATAATTCACAATGAATTTAAAAAGAAATTTTACAGCGCAGTGTTATAATAAAATATCGTGTTTAATTTTAAGAAATTATTACTACAGAAAATCATTATAGAATGTCCGAAAGACAACAATATAAAAGTCGCAGTATTATTATGATTCAGTAGATTAAGCAGATTCATCTTGTTGAACAGCTAGAACAGCCAGATCTATTTTCAGTCATCAAGTGAATTTAATTTGACTGAATGAATTTAATCTGGCTTTGTTTGATAAGCCTATTGAATTTATTCAATCATTTACATTTATTACGTAATAATGAAAATTATAAACATTTCAACAACTGTTATTTAACAATAACCATTTTGAATAATTATGGTTTAACAATTTGCACTTATCTCTGTATTTCAAGAGATATTAATCACGATTGATAGATCAGGATAAATGGGTATTAAAGTTGTATAAATTAATCTCTTATGTAACAAAGATACCGAACGCGCCGTACCCAAGAATCTGTCACGTGCCAAAAGCCAGACAGACGTACGATCAAGAAATTTCAATTTCAAAACAGGCAAGTGCAACTTGAATTTAAGAACACTCAACGCTCGATCGTTTTTTTATGCGCGGAGAGTTACGGAACCGTTAATTAACTAACGATCCACGGCGCGTGTCGTACGAAATGATGGCCGTATAGCTTGAACGGGAACGTCGCGTCCACCACGTCCACGCGAACGCATTAATTCCAATCGCTCTTCGCGGGGCAATTAATCCGTTATTGAGAATTTCGTTTTGAAACTGATACGGTCGAACACCTGCACCTCGCGATCCCTTCCTGCTACGGCTACGATGAGGAGGAAACCGCCCACCATTGGTGCGACGACGCTTAGAACGCATCTCCCGCACTTTATCTATAAAGGTGGTGGTAGGGTTAGATACCGTGAAGAATACACGTTTCTACCGCGCTACCAGCGATTTCCGCGGGGGTAGACGAGGGGATGAAGGGGAAAGAGAAGGAGGACGCACGCGTTGTGTCTTCTTTCCGTCTCCCACCACGTTGAACGCCGGCGTACTCGGCACCACACAACCGAACGATGGTAGGCGGAGTCTCCAGGTAGCACACGAGATCGACGCGCAGGTGAGAGAAGAGCGAAACCTGAGCGAGGAGAGACAGACCAGGTAAGGGGAAGCTACGAGCCGGCCGACACACGTTCGTCCTCATACGCGAGAGACCGTGCGTGTCCTCCTCGGCCACACCGCGGGGTCAGTCGGGGTCCTGCTCTTAGTCAGGACACTCCGAGAGGAAAGAGTGAGAATTTCTTCTTCTTCTTCGCACGGACTGACAGTTACCCTGTGACCGGGCTATCATCTGGTAATCTACTATCACCTCGGGCTACTCTCGACAATACGTATCGTAGAAATGTGTTCACGTTAGTCATCACGAAAAATAGAAAAAAGAGAAAGAAGAAAGTCAATAGTTGACGTAAAGATTCTATTGAGGAATTTAAATCATCTTCATTGTAATTCATGATTCTTCGAGGTCTCAAAGCTTGGAGCGACTTTAAATATCAACGAGGATTGGTTCGAGCAGTGATTCACATCTTCATCACTATTAACCTTTACGAATCACATGAAAGAGACTTCGACTGGCCGGTTGGTGGTGAAGTCAGAGATCAGTTCCAAGGTTGTCAAAGAGAACACTTTTAATTTCATTTAACGAGCGCTCAAGACCGCGTGCTTCCGCGAAAGTATTGTGCGAGAAGGAGGCGACGTGTGCCGGTGCTTTAACGTTTGTTAAAGAAATCTGTGTGATTCGCGCCGAACTGATCTGGTAGGCACAGTGCGTGAGAACCATATTGGAAATAGTGCGCGATTCCATGAGCGGCATACAATTTTAGCGCATCGTTTTCACATCGCCTGAACGTGATGTGTGGTGAGTAAAGGATTTTTAATATCTTCGGACACAACGATCAACACGTGATACTTGCCGACTGACTTAACTCTCCGGTAAACTATTTTGACGATCGCGATAATTTTCATTTGTTACGCACTTTTATGTACTTGCCGAGAATTACATTTCATTCTACGCATCAGATTTACATATATATCACGTACAACATTGGTAAGAGAAATTTGTGTTACAAGTTTTTAATTGTTATATACATGAAAAGGAAGAAACATTAAATTATCTATATATAGTATATTGAGTAAAACTTGTTATAAAATTTGATTTATTTGTGTTATAAAATTTATTTATTTGATTTATTTTTTATAATTTTATCGAAAATTGATTTAGATAGAATTGATTTAGATAGAAAAAAGTTACATTGTGTGTCGAAGATCAGTACATTGAATCTAGCTGTCAGTTATAGAAACATGATAGAGAGAATATAAATAACAATAAATTTATTTTGCATGAGAATGTGTCACATACACTATTAATCAACGATTTTATCAATCGAAATGATATAAATTTGATTTTTAACATCAACGATAACACGATTTAAAGTTGACCTTTCTTGTAACTTTCGATGTCAATCGCAACTCTTATCAGAAGTCAAAATTAATCATTGTGTTCTTTTTTTCACCGATCCATTGATCTTTATCATCATATTTTAAATGATCTTGCAAAGCAGTCTTCGTGCAGATTGCTTTTGTCCTCGTCAATTCCTTGAATTACATATTCCGCAATTATTTTGGCAATTATTTAACATTTTAAACAATGCAAAGCATTTTTTTGCAGATACATTTGCATTTTTTCATGACACAAAAGTACTTGTTAATAACAATCATTAATAAGAGTATATTTGAAATCCGCTCAGAATTGTTTCAATATGAATATAAACAAAATTATAGCTAATTATTTAAAAAGTTATCGAATGCTTCATTGAATAGATATTGTACTTTATGTGTTAAATAAAGGATTATCTTGAATATTCAAGAGGTGATAAAGTTTTATCACATTTTCTAAGCAAAACTTTTATCGCCAAGTCACACATCTGCAGTTTTATTCCATAACACTTTTTCATTCTTAAGATTTTGTAATTCTTTGATAAAAAACATTATTTGCGTAAACTGCTCTAACAAGTGACACGAACTCTCCATTAACTTTAATTAAATTCATTCCGTATGATTTTAAAGACTCATATCTGCAAAATATATTTTTCTTTCCCAGAGATTTTGTCATTTAATTTGCGTCTTAATGGATCTTTATTTAAATTTGTCCCCCAAACGTGGAACGTAAAAGATTTTTGTATCTTTGAATTGTATTTATTTTAAATGAGTAATATTTCATTTATCTTATTTGTTAAGTTACTTACTATTTGTTAAGTTACTTACTATTTGTTAAGTTGTTTGCGTATCTTAAAATAAACTTGTTTATTATACTGCTCGTATAATCGTTTTTATTTTTATACACGATTACACTTACAAGAACATAAGTAATATTTATGAAGCAGGTAACATTTATAAAGCGCATGGTTTCTTATACAAATGAAAGATTTTAGCGACGTGCGTATATTATCCTAATCGCAAAAGCGAAAAAGTATTGCGGATAAGCTGCACGATGATAACCGAAGCACGAGGTATTAGAATAGTATTTTAAACATATCACGAATGCAAATGTAAGAAACATGTGTAAATTTTCAAAACATCGTCGCATTTTGGCCGTTTGCATAAAATGATGACTAACATGCATATATGTCATTCTTTATTGCATAAAAAATGTAATAAAACATTTATTAACAGTAATTATTACGCTTTTACACAAAGTATAGTAAATAGTTTTTTAAATAAAACTTTGCAAAATTATTATATATAAAAACGTTAAATTTAGATATTTATAATAATTGTTTTTGCACAATAAGATAAATCATTCAGTATAATGAAATTTTCAGAAAATACATTATTTTAATTCTTAGAATGATAAATAAATTTTTTTAAATAATTTTTTTCGTAATTGAATCAATTATTTTTAAATATTTTTATTTTTAATTTTATTAAATCCGTTAAAAACTCGCAATATGAAATATTGTGTCATCACATGATGTCAATGTCTTGTTTAATGTTGTAATATTGAAAAACTGCATTTGTCTTTAAAATTAAAAATTAAATGCCTATTTTATCTCCGTTCAAAAATGTAGCGACAACAGTCATAATTTAGTCCAAAAATCCGTCTTAAAGAGGTTCAGGCGGAAAGAACATCTGACACTTGTTCACACAGCTTAATCAAGACTTTGTGTAAATATTCATGATTGTTTTTTTGAGATTTCGTTGAGTTGTTACGATGGGAGTTACTTTTGAAATTAACGAACAAACAAGATTAGCCGTTTACGAGGCCTAAAGTTCTGTTATTAATTAATCAATTCGTTAATTGACAGATGTCTTCTCATTGTCTGTTAAGTCATTTGAACTTCACAGAACGAAATGTACAGACTGTCATTAAATTTTGCCAAAAATGTAATCGAAAATTTCCATTAATATGAGTATATATAATCACATAAATAAAAAATTTTATCCGATTTCAAAATTTATGAATTGAAAATGTTTTGTATTCACGAGAATACAATACCGTGAATAATTAATAATCAAAAGTGATTAATTAATAATTAAAAGAACTCTATCTGACCGCTGTAATTAATTTCTATGGTGAGAAGATAAACTCATCGATTCGGAATTTATTTCGTGAAACGTGTCGAGCCTCAAGTGTGAAATTAAGAAATGACGTAGTTAACATATCTCGAATCTGTTAAAGTGATATTTTCACAGGTGGCCATATGCTGAGTCAATTAATCAAAGATTTTTGGTTTTGCACCGATTATCGCACACTCCTCGAATTTATTATCTTTTTTGTTTTGTTGCATATTAAAGCTTGTAAAAATGCGTCATTCGCTATTGTTATATTTATAAATTCAATATTGCTTAAACATTAACATTCGAAGTGATAGAACATATTTTTTATGAAGTTATCTATTTTTATTTATTTATTCTGTCCAATCGATAATAATTAACACTAATGTATGAACATACATATTATATAAATATATATTTTCAATATTACTAAATATTATGTTATTACATTTTATTATATAATATATATTATATTTTAATTTACATATTTTTTTAACACATAATGTTTTCGACATTTGTGTTTGATATTATTCATAATTTATTGCTCATCATCGCGTAAAATTGAAAGGCTAGCAGGAAATCGGGTTTGTGACGCTCATGATTTATTCTCATATATGCAACAAAGAGAACATGGTTTTTTTTTTATTCTGTGAGCAACGTAATGCATTGATGATAACAACGCAGAAGTGCAGTATAATATATCGTTGAATTAGCCTCACCTGTTTAAATACGTTCCTATCTAACATCGAGACCTCGAATTTCAACAAATTTTCAACGAGTCATTGAAAATTTTCCATACCAAAATCGTAGCTCTCAAGTTGCTTTCCTTTTCCGCTTCATATTTAACGAGCAAAATTTCTGTAATATATTTAAATATATATTTTATCTCAAACCATTTTTTGTGCTCTATTGTCATATATTTCTATTTCAACTTATTATTAGATTCAAAACGAAGATTGATGATTGATTTGAACCATCTCTCTTCTGCTTCTCTTTCTTTCTATGAATGATTATTTGAAGTTTGCCAAGGAATTTTTCATGACGTTTATCAGCGGCATCCTTTTGTTCCTTTTTTTTTTGCAACTATGTTGGACGCATCTTTATGAGCTTATTTCCCTTTTCAATTCGCTTATTTAAAACCGATGAACAGTAATTCAAATTCGCAATCCTTCGGCGATTGGCAGGAAAACTACATCATGCACCGTTATCTATGGAAACAAGTAACAAATTCTCGCTAGCGATACGTTCGCGCATGAATTATGTAGGAATGCCGCCTCGTAAGAGCGCATTACAGATTTATTCAAACAACGAGTAGTGGTCATTAGTCGTACTTTATGTCCAAACGTGATCCTTATCGATACGGTAGGACCTTCGAGTCAGTGATTTACTCCGTGATCACTAACTTTCCGACATATCGTTTCATAAAATGGCTATTTCTACTTCCACTCATTCGTGTGTCTTACAAATCAATCGCTCTAACGCAACACTATACCATACATTCGTGTTCTTGTTAACTATTCATTTGTTTATAGTTCGTTAAAAAATCTTTTTTACTAATACATAATTTTACATAAATTTACATGAACTAAAATACATTTTTTTAAATTTCTTTAAGATTTCGTATACTATAAAATAAAATTATACACAATGTGTATAATTTTATATAATACATATATATATATGTGTGTGTGTGTGTGTGTGTGTGTGTGTGTGTGTGTGTGTATTTATTTAAAAATATAGAAAACATACAGTGTGTTTTTAAAATTTAAATATATCAAGATTATCACATCTCGAATCACTGTGCGTATATAAAAATTATATAATTATGTTACATGGATTTTTTTAGAAAATACATGTAAAAATCATTGTCAATTAAAGTTTTCTCCTTGTTTGCACGATAAAATTTTCTGACGGCTCGAGAAATCAATACAAGGCATGTTGCGTGATGGAACGCAATCTGCGCGTAAGATGTATTTAATTCATTATTAGTAATTATCACAAGTTGATCAGTAGTTGGTGCTCGTTTTGAGAGCTTGTCCCGTCAAGTTTGTGGACAGCGTGATCGGAATTTTATCGTGGATCGCGGTGCAGAGCCGCGTCGAGCAATCACATCTGTCCGACCTCGCACGATTAGGATCTCGTCTCTTGATATATCCGTTTGATACTCGTTGCGATTGGTGCACGCATTATAATTTCATCGAGTGACAACCGGCTGCGCGTTTGTGATTTCTTCCTCGCGCGTTCGCTCTTTCGCGCGTAAATTTTTCTTTTTTTTTCTCTTTTCTTTTTTATTACGTCGTGATATACGTATCTGATATACGTAATACGGCGCTGACCGTCGTCGACAATGCATTAAATGCATGCTCGCGTTTAGTTTAAACGCAGCGAGCATAAATATTCCGTATTCATTGATGCGCGAGATCCACTGTACGATATGGAAACTAGTAACGATTTAAATACCTCTTCTAGCAGGGTTGGACGATTGTTATGAATATGGATATTTATAATCGCCGGCATTTCAATTCTTTATTATCGAACGGATGAGATTGCTATAAAGTAGCGTATAATTTGGAAAAACTTGACGTTTTATGTCGCAACTCAGTTTCTGATTAGTTATATTTCCTGCTATAAATTTACTGGATTCTGATAAGCGGAACATGTATCGCGTTTAAATACTCCATAATCTTTAAACCAATTTTTTAATCGACAAGAACAAACAATATTTAAATTGCATGTATCTGTTATATGTAAAAATATGTACCTGCAGAGAATTGTGATAATTTCTTATTTAAGATTTTTGATATTATTTTGATTTTTGATATTATTTTTTAAGAGTAAAAAAGCTAATATCGGAACGTTCAAAATAATTTGTAAATATTTTTAAACAACTATGCATAAAATATTTTTGTTACAAATAATACAAATAACAGCATAATCTGCGTTTATGATTAATTTTTTACCATATGTTTGCAAAACAAATTTGGAAGATACGCATGTTGCGCAGCGCGACATTCTTGCTTTGTAATTTTTTTCGATCAACACGTTCCAGCAAGCCGTGATTTTAGACTATAATCATTCTTCGTTTATGCGATCGAAAGGATTTCAGATTTTATGCATCACGAAAGAATCCGCTTCAAGGCTCCATGTATTATTCATTTCTCTGTTAACGTATATGTTTCGTGCATGTAATGAACGCGTTTGCGGAATGCAGCCTCTACGCATGCTTTTACGCAAAATATGTACAACTCACACTTCACGTTTTATAGTTTCTTTATTTCGTAGAGATCTTACGAGCACTTTCGATATTAAAGCATACAAAGACAAAATCGAGGAAAAATTAAGAATCTGGAAGAGGAAGATAACACAAATATTATAATTAAAAACATTTACTAGAAAATATCAAAATAATACCTATTATACATTTATGCCTGTCTTTCTTAAAAACGATCTAAAAATTAAAATAATAAATGTGTTAGATATAATCTCTGATAAAAGATTCTTTGGATAAAAATACCTATTTTACTTTAATATCTTCTATTTTAAATATTTTCGTTTTTATCTAACGTCTAGTTCTAGCTCAAGTATTTAATATTTATAAACTTGAAATTTACTGACTCTGAAGATTTACAAAAATTATCAAACAAGGTTATTTATGAGTGAAAGAAACGGAATAGAATTCATTTAGAATTATTTAAAAATTTTATATAAGATGTTATTTTTGCTATTATATGAATTTTTGAATTGTATTAAATGACATTTATGCTTAAATTAAACACTATTATATTTAATAGTCTTTCAAAACATTATTTTGCAATTTAGCACATGCATTATGATAAGAATTATCAATTTATCTAATATAGAGTTTTATCTACACATACAGACGTTTATTGTATTTTAAGTACATACTTTGAAAAAAGTTTGTTGCTAATAAAATGATACGGTGTTATCGAGATTTTGAAAATTATATATTGCACACACATTTTGCGTTCGTGTATGGGTACGAATAATATGCCAAGTATATTTGTTCTCTCGTGATAGAAGCGGTACCTCGAACTTGGCACATGAAACCGGAACTTCATTGCAATCCCGTGGGAGTTCCGGCGGGCGCCTTGTCACCCCCGGCTACCCTCTCGCCGCCCGGCAGCCCTAACGCCATAATCACGCTGCCATCCTCGCCTTGGAGCCCAGGTGTACCGGGAAGCAGTTCGAGCATTGCATCCACCAATGCAACTTCGGGTCTTTGTCAACCTGTCCCCGATCGTTTCAGCGCCTTCACTCTCGTCTCGAATTACAATCCCGATCTGAGACTGCAAAATCTACCACTCAGCGCTGGCGTTGCCGCGCGAGGTAAGTCGCGGGGATGATGTGAATTAGAATAAATCTTTTGGTATTATAATATCTTTATATACTTGTTTATCAATCTATAATTAAACCGCGAAATTTATTTAAAATATTTTTAATTTAAATATTTTTATATATAAAAATATTTATTTTAGTATATCTCTCTTAAAATATGATATGGCATAATCTCCAGAAATATTTTGTAAATTCTCTTTTGCTTAAAAATTATCACACTTTCAAATTCCACACTTTGAACTCAACACGGTTACCTTTGTTGTCTCAGACATGCGTTGCGGTCTTATGTACGGCGGTTATGGGGCATCTGGGGGTGCCTGGTGGCGTCACATGGGCCTGCTGTTGCCACATAGTTTGCTCCCGCCTACAAGAATCCCATCCCAACAGACGACGCCGGTCACGAATTGCTCGCCTATTCATTCGGAACCTCTCAGTCCGGCACGTCCCGGATCACCCCGAAGATGCACGCCGGAGAAGGCCAAATTCGGTGAGATTTGATTGAATCTCTCTTAAACAAATCTGCAAATATTTTACACGTTGTGACTGAAAGATATATAGAGAAGAAACGTTTGTCAGGAGGCGACACCATTACATAGAATGTAGCTCATATAAAATTCATCGAGGAAAATTATTTTAAAATTATTTAAAATTTGTTTAAATTACTTTCAAGTTATCCTAGTAATAATTTGCATAATGTAGTTTATGACATTTACGATTTCTTTGACTATTTTATGTATTGTGAAAAATATGGCTGAATTGGATATATTCGTACATTTATGAACATCATTTATTCAGTATTAATTGGGTTAATATGTGTATACAAGTTTAATAAATGTAGAGAGACAAAGCATGAATATTTTAATGAATTAATTAATGAATTTATTTTCATTCGATAATGATTACGATTTACAAGAGTAAGTCTAGTAAAATTATCTTTAGCTAGTTTTCCAGAATGACTATCGTTAGAATATTTAAAATGAATTCTTTTAAAAAAGTAGGCCGGTTAATGAGCAATTATCTGTAAGTGGGTATTATCGATCGACCAACGTTGTCATACGAGACATCATTTATCGCTCGACTTTGCTGCACGGATATTAATTACGATCAATTAATTGCTCTCTGCGTATACATGTATATGTGATGTGCAAAAACTATAAAATTTCCTCGCCTTTAATAATGATGTTACATGATCCATCATAAATTACTACTGTTTTTGACATCGTAACATAGCGATAGTATGAGGTTGCTTGTTACTTTATTCTCTATATTATTGTATAAGTTAATTTATGAGTTAATTTATGATGAAATATTTCTACAAAAACACTTAATATATACTTTTTATTTTTAAATGTGTGTGTGTGTGTGTGTGTGTGTGTGTGTGTGTATGTATGAATTAATCTTTACATATTTTATATGTATTTATACAATTTGAAAAATTTTGTATTATTTTACACGAGCAAAAGATTTATTCATTTTACGTGTTAAAACAAATAAATATTGTATTTGAAGTATTGTATTTGTATCATTATCATGATGTATTTTTATACAATTTAATTAAATATTAAAATTTTTTTAATGAGAGACAAGTAGTGATTTGACAAATGCTTGAATAGATCGATGATTTTTTTTGTTTCAGAAGAGGAGGCGCCGTTGAACCTCAGCACGAAGCCGAGCGACGTCTCGTCGAGTATCGGCAGTAGGAAAAGTGAAATTTGGTCGCCGGGTTCGGTGTGCGAGAGGGAGGCCAGGGAAACGAGAGCACCGTCCTCCAGGAGTCCGTCCTCGACCCCTATAATTACGCGGCAAATTCATCATTCACCACTTACACCGCCCTCCTCGACGGAAAGGACTTTTCAAGTAAGTGTTTCTGTATTATACCTCTTTATTCTTATTCGCGCACTTTATTTCATTTCAATAGACTAAAGTTGTCGACTAAAGTTGTCGTCTTCATAACCAAGTGACTCATTACTTTAACGAAGTAATATTTAAAACAATTTAATCGTGAATTTTAATAATAATATGTAATAATATGACTATAATTCTTCTTTAAAAAGATATCTCGCGTGCAAAGATTTATTTCGTATTATTTTATAATAAAAGAAATTTAAAAAATGATATGGATAGAGTTTCTTGATTTAAAAATCGCCAGCGATGCCAAAATTATCGTTGTATGCCAAAATTACCGTTGTATACCGATATTACCGTTGTAAAGAAAGATTTTTATGACGCTAGTCCTCTGCATAGATCGCATGAGGGAGTCATTGCGAATCTGTTATTGCAATAATAAAGATAACTTTCGAGGAAGAGGATTAATATCAGTCCTAGAAATCTCGACATGCGGTTGTTTCCACGATATTTGGCCCATCGAAAAATGGGCAGTGTACCGTTGCATATCTCATACAGTATCAATTTTATGAAGTTGACAAATTGACTTGAGCTTTTATTGGCAATCGTGTCTCGTAAAGAAGTTTCGATACGCAGTTTGTATCGACCGAACGTCCGATCAGCAACCCTTAAACGTTGCATCGCCGGCAGTAATTGGTCCTATCTTAGAGACTTTCCCCTCTGTTGTTTCTCGTTTCTTCCCTCCGTTTTAGAGCTTTGATGCGACTTATCTGTTTCTGTCGACTGTTTCTGAGAATCTAACCACACTGTCGTTTTAACTGACAACTATAATCAACCCATTGATATTAATAATTTCCTCGACAAGAGAACAGGCTATTCGTTGATTGTTTGGATTAATTCTATTTCTGTCTTGCTAATCTAGCAACTAAATCGTTTGATTGCCAAAGTGTGGATAACTTTCTTCTTATATACATAATATGTACAATACTGACAGAATATTATGAATTCAATATAAAATTGAATGAGAAACTGTAGTAAATTTTTTTAATAATTTTTAATAATATTTTTTTAAATTAAAAATTATCAGTCATAAGTATCTAAAAAAATATAACGAAATTCAAAATTAAGTAAAAAATTAATAGAAATGTTTAAAATGAAATTGACTATTCTTCTTAATCATCAATCACAATGCTTCGTAAATAAGACCTTTCTAAATATTATTTTCGGTTGGATTAATAGCTTATAAGTTCCTCAGATCGTGATAGCTTTTCGAAAAGGCCATCGATAATCGATACATAGAACTACTTGATGATGTCCATGTTTTTACGAACTACAAGAAAGTGCTTTTCGCCACCCTGATGGTCAGGTCACATTGATTTCTTTGAAAATTGATATTTTTCTCTTCATACACGAAGATTTTTATCACAAAAAAAATAGTTTATTTAAGTAAATCTAAAAAAAAGACTTATGCAACTTACTTATTTCCCAAGTTATGCACAATTTTTAGCAACAAAATTTCAATAACTAAGTAAATCAGTAATTACGTTTTAGTCAGTAATTGATTTAACCGATGCTATTACAGTAATATTTTCCAAAGCAAATATAAAAGATATATATTTCATAGGCGACAAAAGAAACTAAATAAAGTCTAACGCATCGTTATAAAAGAGGTTGTAATCGTTCTATACTACTTTCCAGCTGTTTTAAATGAAACGTCGTCAAATGTCTACGTTTAAATTAGACATCATCATCATCAGAACCATCACACATCTGTTACAATATAAACATGATTTAATTAACATAACGAAGCAATCCGGATGGACGAGTTGTCGAATACGTGTCGATCCATCTTTGATTTTATCGCAACGTTTCCTGTCGATACGCACAGAAGCGATCAGGCTTTTACGCGTGCCTACATATCGCGCGTAAAACCGGTCGATCTCCATTCCGTTCGAAGAAAGAAAAAAATCAGACTTCGGAGTCACGCGATATGAATTTCTTCGGGGCGCGCAAATACCCTTAAGTGCGTTGGGGCGAGGAAACGGGTCAAACGTTTTTGACGAGTACACGGACCTCGACAAAAGACCTCGCCGCTTCAATTACGTGTGATTGAATGGAAGTAGAGAAACTTGCCTCGCCGTGCCGTGGTTTTACGTCCATGACACGTAACCGTAACTCGACATATTAGGATATGTGGGCCGCACACATGTACGTACATGTGTTTGTGTATGTATGTATGTGTATATATATATATATATATATCTAGGGATGAAACGAGGGCATCGCCGACGGAATGTCACACGACGCGTAACACAACGCACCAGCGGCCGCCGGGGTTTTTTCTCTTCCACCCCCGGAA